ACAGGTAGTTATATTCACATGTGAGGAATGCGAGGAATCAGGAATGCAGGGTTTAGGGCAGCTATAATGGACTGCAGTGGGGTCCTCTACGTGGCACCCCCTTTCTAGGAATCACCCCTTACACCCATCCATCTGCATGGTTATTATCAGTACAAGGTGAACCAGCGCTGGGGTCACAGTTGATCGGTTCAAAGGTGAGCGCCTGTCCAAATTCAGGAATTTTTGAAATGCAGCAGAGGCAGGAAGACCAAGGAATTTCTGGGTGTCTAAACAGTAATGTGAAGGCATGGGAGCTTTTAGGGTCACTGTGAGGCCCGGAGTTGGGGGAGGGAGTCATAGAAAGAGAATGGGGGGAAATGAGTTCAATACTCAGAGGTAGGGATACCAGAGATGGAGAGAAAGTTCTGGCAGCTGTTTGGGTTTCTGATTAGAGTTCTTGATGAGACCCAGCCAGGGTACCATATCCAGAATCTTTGCAACATACTTCCCATTTAATTAATTAATTAATTAATTTTTGCTTATGGTAGTTTGGGTTGAATTTGTTACCCCAGAGCAGTTTTTTCTAGTACAGACAGGTATAGCAGACAGGTATAGCACAGGGACCTAACCTAAATTAAGGAATCAGGGAAAGTTGCAACAGTTTTACACAATGTTGTAATTGTTGGTTAGATTTCCAGGATAGCCCAGGAATGCTCATTTAACCTGCAGTATAACTGGGTTTGATTTCTGTGTCTCCTTAGAATGGATTCTTCCATTCATCTTGAAGGCCTGCTGTGTTCCTGGGGTTCTGCTAGGCACTGGGGAAGTGGAGTGACTACAATGTACTGGGCTTTTGAGGAGCATTTGTTTGCTACTAAACCACTTGCCAACATCGTCACGTGCTCCGTTGTTTCTTCCTAGGTTTCCGTTACATCGTGGGTTAAGTAGACTTTGGGGGTTGAGTCTGGGAAACTAACTTCCATATGACATTGTTTCTATGGCAAATGAATTTCCTAGTTGGTAGAGAGAATTTTGCCCTTTGGCTATAGCAATTCATTAATACGACAACAAATCTCTGACTACCTTCTCTACATTTCAGGCACTGTTCTAAGCTTTGGGAACAGGGATGAAAGATACAGAAAGGCTCTGTTGTCATGGAGCTTAAATTTTAGGGGGGAAGATGGGCAATAAGCTGAACAAAAAATGAACAGATCATTTAGTTAATGATACGTGCTATGAAGAAAATAAAAGGATGCTGCAGAGGAGGGTAACTGGAGGTGTGTGGGTGGAGCGGGATTTCAGGGTCCGGAAGGGTATCAGTAAAGAGGGAGCTTTTCAGGTGGGATGCACCTGACTCAGGGAAAGAAGGAAATGTGGTGCCTCCAGGACTGTGCCTCTCCACACCACCAGCTTTGAGGTGGAGAGGTCTTGTCAGAATTGGACCCTGAGGAACAGTGTCCTTGCTTATGGAGTCACCAGGTATAGACCTGCACTGTCCAAGTACCGGGGCCAGTAGCTACAGGGGCAGTTGAGCGCTAAAGGTAGCTACTCCAAATCAATTTTTTAAAAAAAGTAAAAATTTTCAATAGTTTTTATATTGATTATACAATGCATTGCTAATATTTTGATATGTTGGTTATATAAAATAAATGATTTTAAAATTCACTCTTTTTTAATGTGACTGCTAGAAAATTCAGACTTACCTCTGTGACTTGTGCTGTTTCTGTGGGATAGAGCTGATATAGACTCAGACCGATGGGGTTTGAGTACTTAGGGCTTAGTTGTAGTTTCTGTATTTGTTTCACGAGGGGCAGTTTACTTAATTCTCCTCAGTTTTTTTCCCCCTCTATCAAAGGGGGCTAATCCTATACCTTGTAGGGTTGTTCTGGGAATTAAATCAGATCTGGCAGAGTGCCTGTCGTGTGCCAGGCACTGGAAAATCATTCGAGCCTCTCATTTAGAAGTGTTAGACCCTTCCCCCACTTCCTCTTGTGACATAAGGTAGTCATGCCTGGGAATGTATTTGGAACTCAGAGAGTGACTGTGTTGAGAAAGGGCTGTGCAGGTTCATGACACTGTATTAGTCTGCATTTTTGCCTTATTTTTTTCAAGCGAGGTTTTTGAAGTCTTTGTTGTAAGATGAAGATAAATAAAGAGATTACATTATTTCCAGAGTGGTGGCCTCACGTCTCCTGCCTCCAGGCTGACTTCCCTTCCCTTACATGCTATTGTCCCTCTCCGCAGGGTAGGCGATCCTTCCACTGGAAGCCCTGAATAGGAATTCTGGTGCCAGGTTCCATGCCAAAATGACTGATGCCTTATCTTCTGAGTGTTTTTGATACTCTTGTTGTACAAAAGTGACAATACCAGAGTCCTGAAGACCTTGTTTATGCTTTAAGAGATTAGGTAATGAGAGGCCCTCTGGCCCAAGGCCCAAGGCCATTTCAGATAGTGATTGGCTGGCAGAAAATACTGATGCCTTTTACTTTGTCAGAGACACAAAGGTCTTTCCTTCTGAGGTGGTCTCTGTGTCCTTGTTAGTAATGTATGCGCAGTGGCTGGCAGTTCCTGGGCTTCAAACTGGGACACTGGCAGTCATGATCATTTGGTTCAAATAAGGAAACTAAAATATTTGGAGGGCTGAATTTGGCTCTGTGTTCAGATCGTCACTCACCAGAAGTCAATTTGATAGTATGGAGAGTTTGCTTATATTTTAATTCAGTTCAAAGAATATTTATTGAGTCCAGTGCTGGAAAATGGTTTTCTGTTTTATTAAATATCAGAGGGATTTTAAAGTTGTTTTTGAAAGAAAACTATTCAAAATACAGTGAAAGCAAGGCTGGTTTACATGTGTCTTTTCTTCCAATAACTACTTGTTTCTTTTCAATCCTGTGTCTCAAGAGTACACCTTCTTCCCTGATAAGTCATCATAATGTTTGAGACCCGAATCCACTGGCTATTGCAATCATTTAGTTGGAAATGTAGGCATAGGCAAATACAGAAGGAATTCATATAATGACATATACGTGCATTCATCTATATGTACTTGATAGTTCCATGTACATTTATCCATATGCATGTATCAGAATTATCTATCAGAAACCTTAAAATTACATTTCTTGTAATAAAGGAATGTAATTTATTTTGTATACCATTACATATCCACCAGAAAACTATGAGAGTTACAATATAGAGACATTCTTAACGCCACTCACTATTGACAGATAGCTTGATTTTTGTTGATTTTATTTGCATAAAATGGTATTTCATAGCTGTTTTAACCTGATCAGCAGTGTGGCTGGCATCTTTTCTTAGGATTATTGAGCAGTTGAATCTCCTCTGCTGTGAAGTGCCTCATAAATGTTGCCCATTTCTTAATTGTTGTGTTTTGTTTTTGTCTTTTTCTTTCCAATGTCAAGGAAGTGTTCATGTAGTGTGGATCTTCTTTCCATCTACTCTTTGTCTTTTAGCTTTATTTATGTTGTCTTTAGTCAGGAAGAAATAGGGAACGTATCAATTCCTGCCTTTATGATTTGTACGTTTTTTTCTTTCTTTAATCCTCACCTGAGGTTGACTCTTCCATCTAAGAAGTTTTCCATCTGAGCCCTGTGGAAGGATGGAGTTGCTATTTGTTATCATGGAAGGAGCAGGTGTGGAGAGGAAGACCAGCTGTTCAGTTTTGGACATATTAAGTTTGAGATTTCTGTTAAATATTTAAGTAGAGAATGTAGGAGAGGCAGAGGAATATACGAAGCTGGAGTTCAGGGCAGAGTTCTGGGTTGGAAATATACATATGGGAAATCCCAGCATATAGTTGGGATTTAAAGCTATGAGACTGGATGAAGTTACCCAGAAAGTGAGTACAAATTATGACAAGAAGAGGTTCAGCCCTTCTATCTTTAGAGGCCTGAGACTCAGCAGAGACTGAGAAAGTCACCAATGAGACAGTGATGATGAAGTTCTGGGGCCAAGAGAAGACAGTGTTTCAAGAAAAGAGGAATGATCCGCTGTCTCCGATGCTGCTGAGAGGTCAGGATACTGAGGACCAAGAGTTGGCCGTTGGATTTACCGGTATGAATGTCATCGGTGATATGGACAAGAGCAGTTTAGTGGTGTGGTTGTGGCGACAGACTGATTAGAATAGGTTCAAAGGATAATAGAAAGAGTTGAATTAGAGGCAGCAAATGGAGGTAACTTTTTCAGTTTGCTGTAATGTTGAGCAGAGAAATGGGACAGAAGCTATAAAGGAAAACAAAGTGCAAGAATTTTGTTGTTTGTTTTTAAGATGGGAAATACAGGATGTTTATATGCTCGTATATATGCCAACGGAGGCTTAAGTAGAGTGGGAAGGTAATGGTGTAGGAGAAGCAGGTTGAATTGCTGGAGCCTTCCACTGAGTGGATAACAGTAGATGGGATCTAGTGCACAAAGTGGAAGGGGTGGCCTTAAGGCAGTAGACATCCATAGTAATAGGAGGGAAGAGAGAATACCACATGTGGGCCCAGCTACAGGTAGGTAGGTCGATGCAGTGTGAGGGCTTTGGAAGTTCACTTCTGATTGCCTCTGTTCTGTTAGCTGAGAGTGACGGTGTGGGGAGGCCATGTTGGAGGTTTGGACAAAGAGGGGCAAGGTATGGAACAGTTGTCTAGGACAGTGGAGGAATGGATAATATGGTAGTATGTTTTAGGATTGTATGACCGCACTAGGGGCTCTGCTGCTTGAGGGTCATGATCATGAATTGAAAATGAATTAGTCTAGTAGAGTGTGTTTCCCTAGCCAAGTTCAAAAACGTTGGTACTGCTGTGGAAGAGGTAAGGGTTGGGTTTAGCTAGGTTTCGTGTTTTGCCAGGTGAATAGGATGGAATGAGAAGAGGGGCCAGCTAGGGAGGTGAGCTGTGTACCAGGAAGTGATCAGGATGGACCCTGGATGTAGGCTGGCTAAGAAGGAATTCAGGGACAAGAAAGTAGTGAGTGATGGATGAAAACATTATAGATCAGTGGCTTGCAGGTACAGTGGGGTAAAGGAATTGTTAGAGATGCTTGGAGGGAAAAAAGGAAGAGACAGAATAGGATGGAGGAGTTGCTGTTATTGATAATTTTAGAGAAGTGGCATTTTCATTTTTGATCTGATTTTTAGTTGGCAGTTATTTTAAAGAATAATCTTCATCTAACCTATTCTCAACCCAGTTGTTAATATTCTGTGAACCAATATAAATTTCTCTAAAGGAACTCTAAAATGAAAAAAGTTTTCTATGTATGTTTAGTTTTCAAAAATAGTTTTTAAAACCATAAATGTCTTGCTGTGTTTTGCTGCTCCTTTAAAATATTTTTCAATATTTGCCTTTGGCAAATCCAGTGAATTTAGACTTTCCGGGTAGGAGTTCTGGCGCTTTAAGCTAGCTTTGCACACTGACTTGGTGAATGCTTTACCTGCAGCACATGAGAGTACATAGTAAAGTTACCTTAAAATTGAAATGAAAGCAGCGGGCATGTAAAGCATATTGTGAAAAGTGTGAAGGACTTAAGGTTTTCTGGTGGAGCAGCATGTTAGATGCTGCTATGGACAGGTTAAAAAATCTTCAATTTTTCATATTTTCTTATATGAAATTTTGAAAAAATTTTGAAGCTTTTTATTTTCACATAGGATGACATAAGCTTAATGTTAACTCCTTATATATGCATATACTTATGCTACTTTGGTAAAATATAAGTAAATATTATTATAGTTGTGGGAAATTCTATAAAGTGTGGTCAACTTTAAAAAGAATATTAATACTGAGGCTTATTCTGTCTTACTCTTTAAGAATAATTTTAGTTGTTGCCGATTTAGAGCATGACTGCTTCATTTTTAATAACTGATATAATTAACACTTCTTCCACTTAATAATGACAAGAACTCGAGGTGTCAACAGGATAAGTCCCAGGAGTCAACAACTTGTTTCCCAGGAGACCTCCACATTTAGACTTGACCCTGCTCCCAGCAGCTATTCCTCAGCAAGGTAAACAGCATGACCCTGCTGAATTCTGAAGTGTTGATTACATTAGAACCAGCACTTGTGTAGATTTGGGGACTGTTCCTTGAGGAACAGTGGCCATTTAGTTTCACTTGAAGGTATACATAATTGTGGACCTAGATCTGAATCCTCAAAGTCTGTCTTAAGAACTTGGACCATCACTTTTCAGGAGTACTGTAGGCACCTTTGGAGTCTGAAAGACTTTGGGTAGGCTGGACTGTGTCTGTCTTCTGGTGACTCCCTTATTCAAGTCCGCACCGCTCTTTAGGACTAGGATGTGACATCGGTGTTTGATGTTCTCTGTTTCCTCTGGCTCCTTTATTTTTCCAAGTGAAGTCGGACCTTATAAATACCTGTGCTTTTGGGACATGCCCTGATGATGTAGTTACCTGCCTTTGGTGAAAGCTATGACTGGGCCCAAACCACAAGTTTCCCCAACTTAAAAATAGATGCGTCTCTGGCTTAAGGAACAGCATCTGTCAGCTTCCCACATGGGGCATTTTAGGTTTTGGCATATTGACTGTTCCGAAATGGCCGGTTTCCATGATTCCCAGTGTCCTTTGATGGTTTTGCCCTAATGAGACCTGGCTCTTTTTCCTCTGACTTCCAGGCTCAAGAAAGGCAGCTCTGTGTGGGTTAGCAGACAGCGAGACTTCTGCAGGCCAAGCCAACAGGACTCGATTTGTCACTCACTGGGCTAAATTGAGTGAGTAGCATGCTGGAAGTGGGACAAACTGGCCAACTGTAGATCATACAATACTGTATATGTTGCTACAGACCAACTCAGAAACGGCGATGTGTGTCGATGAGCAGAGCCTGTTGAAATAATATGCCAGGGAAATCATGTATATGTCATTTTGGGCACCAGTTGTTAGTCCTTGGAAATCAGTTGTGTGGTGTTTTTCTAACCAGATTATTTCTAGAAAGTGAATGAGTTTTTGTTAAAGGAAAAAAAACATTATTATTTAATTTCAACATCAGAAAGCATTAACCTTGCTTGAATAGCATAAATAGCTAAATTTAATAAATGATTTACCCTGTTTTAAACAGACCTAGACACAAATTGTCCTCAGTTTAATTAAGAAAAAGCATGGCATTTTGGTGATAAGAAGTACACAGGTATAGAATTAGAGTGGTTAATAAATTTAAATTAGTAATTAATTCTGCTACCTCCTCCACAAGCCTATCAATAGGAAGAATTAGGGCTTTTCTGTTGTTAATAGGTTGAATTTTGTCCCCACCAAAATTGATATGTTGAAGTTCTACCACCTTGCATCTCAGAACATGACTATATTTGGAGATGAGGTCTTCACAGAAGTACTTAAGTTAAAATAAAGTTATTAGGGTGGGCCCCACTGCAGTATCACAGGTATCCATATAACAAGAGGGAATTTGGACACAGACACACGCAGATGGAAATAGTATAAAAACACATGGAAAAAATGGCCATCAACAGGCCAAGAGAGGGGCTTTCAGAAGAAACCAACACTACCAACGTCTTGATCTTGGACTTCAGCCTATGGAATTGTGAGATAGTAAATGTCTGTTATTTAAGCCACCCAGCCTGGTGGTACTCCATTATAGAAGCCCTAGCAAACTAGTACATGAACCAAGTGTGAGCAAGAGAATAAAAAGATAATATTTTATAATTAAATAGGTAAATTCAAGTTTTAAAACCTTCATTTGGATTATAAATGAGTTTACCAAACCATGGGTTAACCCCTTTGTTGCCAGTTGCCAGTGAGGAGGTGGGACTACAGTAGAAAACCAAGCAATTTAGATCTGGAGGGACCTTAGACATCACCTATTGCAGCCTCTGTATTTATAGAGGAGGAGACTAACCCCTGGGGCGTTTAGAGGATTCATCCAGGGGAGGACTCATCCAGGGACAGCTGGTTAGTTATCCATACCTAGAAACTGGGTCTCTCTCTCCCTGGTTTGAGGCCAGGCCCAGCCTTCCCCCCCCCACCCCAAGGCTGTATCTATATATAATCAGGTTCTGTTGTTTTGGCAAAACTGATTTAGAGAAGCAGCCTGTTTTTATTCCCTTCCTCCTGTTCTTTCTTTTTTGATGTTAAGAATATTTTTCACATACAAAAAGGCATAAAGAAGAACAATAATTACCTGTGCATCCACCACTCACTTTAAGCTATTCAAATATCACAAATAGAATTAAAGCCCTTTCCCTGGTCATATTTTCCTCCCATCCCCCAGCGGTAAGTACTATCTTGAAGTTGGCACTTAGCTTTCAGATAGATAGATAGATAGATAGATAGATAGATGATAGATAGACAGAATTANAGGTAAGTACTATCTTGAACTTGGCACTTAGCTTTCAGATAGATAGATAGATAGATAGATAGATAGATAGATAGATAGATAGATAGATGATAGATAGACAGAATTACCAAACAATACATAGTTTCATTGTACATGTATTAAGCATTATAAAAGGTGTCATAACAAATCTATCTTTCTCAATTNACCAAACAATACATAGTTTCATTATACATGTATTAAGCATTATAAAAGGTGTCATAACAAATCTATCTTTCTCAATTTGTTTTTATTCCATTCGGGTTTGTTTGCGATTCACCCTTGTTGCTGTCTGTATATATTGCTCCATTTCATTCATTCCTGAAAAACTGCTGTTTAGTTTTTACTTTGTGAGTAAACTACATTTACCTATTCTCTTGCTGATATTTAGGCTGCTTCTAGTTCAAAATGGTTCTGCTATGAATATTCTTATATATATTTCCTTGTGCATATGTGAGAAATTTGTTTAGGGTCTGTATCTGGGGGTAGAATTGCTAAGCACAGGTTGTGTACATTTTCTGTCCTTTGGGATACTGCCAGATTGTCTGCAAAGTGGTTGTACTGACTTACACTCCTACTTAACAGTATGAGTTCCTGTTGCTCCACATCCTTGCCAGCAGTGATTTTGTGCCAATCTAGTGCACTTTAATTTCTCTAGTTATCAATGAGTATTAGCATCTCTTCATGTTTATTGGCCACTTGGAGTTTTTTAAGTGTATCTTTTTTTTTCTTCCCCTTTTTCTAATTAGAGCCCCAGAGCCAGAATGGACTGAGTGGTCCTAGTGTCTACGTCTTCATTTTACAGAGGAGCAAACAGGGGCTACAGAAATGTAGTGACTGGGGGAAGATCCCTAAATAGACAAAAACTCAGTCATGGCGTGACTCCCAGTCCACTGTTCTTTATATTGTACCAAATAGTCAGATCTTGCTTTTGGATGAGTTACCTTTTTGGTATTGCTAAGAACAGGGTCCAGGGTTAAATGGACTGATGAGGAGAGTTTAATTTATGAGTATGTGAGGATTACATATTTTGTTATAACTGAATTTTCTGAAAACTTGAACCATCACCTCCTTATTGAAAACCATTCTAGGTTTCCCATTGCTTGTTAGAAAGTCGTAACTGCTTAACTCTGTCTGCTGGTTGGGCCCCTCCTGCCTCTCAGACTCTTCTGGATCCTCATGGTCTCCCCACCAGCCACACTGACAGCTTCACACTTGCCAATCTCTCTTCCTCAGCGGGGCCCTTACTCCACTCTGCCTGAGATTCTCTCCTTCCAGCTCATCTTTCAGCTCTCAGCTCCTGCTGTCACTTCCTCAGGGAAGCCTTCCTGAGCTCTCCTACTAGACCACATCCCTACTTTATGTTCCCAAGGCCTTCCACCTTCCACAGCACTCACCACAGTTGCAGATTTACATGCAAGTGTATGATTATTTATTAAGGTCTCTTCCCTCCTACTCCTTAAATCCCATGTAGTCAGGGACTGTGTCTGGGTATTTTTGCTCACGATTCTATCCCTACCTTCTAGCAGTGTGCCTGACATGTGGTTGGAACTCAGCAAATATTTGTGGAATGAGCAAATAAATAAATGGTCAGTCTTTAAAAAGTTCATCTCGCCTAACTCCCTGGAGGCAAAGCTGTCTCCATCTAATTGGACTCACCCATTTCTTTTTCAACCTAGCTCTACGCTGCATGCTTCAGAAAAAGAGCTATAACCAAAAGGACCGTATTTAAGATTTATATTCATGGCTCAAAGGATATGGTACGGGGATGGGTAGAAGAGGGGAAAAAGGGAAAAAACAAGGATTAGACATTGGGAGGAGGAGAGCTAGATCAACAGCTACCTACTCAGGAAGCCCCCAGAATGGGCCCTTTGAACCCCCTTTGAGGGTTTCCAGTATGGCTGGCTGGCTGAACTCCAAACCTAATACGGTCTAGACCTCGGTAGGATGGGCCACTTCTGGTCTAGCAGCGGCTGTTATTATCTTAGATCTCATCTGGGCCTTTCCTTCTAAGATTCTGGGTTGAGGAATTCAAAGTGAGGGTAGGATTCCTTTTATTTACGAAGACAAATGCAGGTTCCGTGTGACCAACCATCACGCTGCAGGAACCCTTAAAGACTAGTGGAATTCCTGGCACCGTCCAAACAGTAAGATTCTTGCTTTTATTATTAGATGTCCTATCCTGTGTTTTTTGTAATCTCACCATTGCCTAGGACAGAAGAAAAGAGGACACATAGTTAGTTTTTTATGAGCATGTCCAGAAGTCTTAAAACATTAAATAGCCATAATTCTTGTATGTAATTCTTAATTCACTATCAAAAGAAATAAATTATCATTGTATTGTTCACTTAGAAACAAGTAGCAAACATGTTTTTAAGATGGATAATCATGAATCATCACAGTTTCTGTTTAGCTTTGGTATCTCTGTCTTGGACAGGGCGTTCAGAACTTTCTCTACAAGTCTTCATTTTGCTCACAACCTCGGGAATTCAGGGTTCTCAGTGAAACACGCTCCATTAACTCTAAACTCCCACTGAAAGAGCAGCTATGATGTTGCTAGAATGCTGAGTAAGAACGTTGACGCTAATTAAATAAGACTACCTGCCTCCAAGTAAGTGTATGTCTCTTGCTGTAAGATAGGAGACATTTGCCTGTACTATATTATTGATCTTTCACATGACTCTTTAAGGTAGTTAAGAGCATCTGGTTATTCTGATTTTTGACAAAGTAAAACTAACAAAAGCAGTGAGCTTGGGTTGGTTAATGTGGTAGGAACGAAGTGCAAAGCTAAATCTGTCCTCAATTTTAATGAAATAATAGGACCTACTGACTGAAATTAAAGGACCTACCCCATATGGTTGTGTGAGACTAGACAAAGTAATATAAGTGAGCTTATAGGTGTAGAGCTTGCCTCCCGCATAATAAGCTCTGTATTAAGTGTTGGCTATTTTTAATTCTGTTACTGTTATTACTATTAGCTTGGAAAGCAAACCTGTGTTGTCTTTTTCAGTGAAGAGACAGCATCCTTTCCCACCTTCAATACCCTTGTTTTCTCTCAGAATCCCTTGAGTCTGCAGATGAGCTAGAATATAATTTGAAATGTGGACTATCTATGATGATTGTTGGACATTTATCACATCTACTCCTACTTCCTTCTTTCCATTCTTCACACCCTGCAAATCCATCCCTTGGAAAATTGAATTGCTTCTTTCTGAGCTTTGGGCTAATGTCTCTAAGTAATCCTTTTTGTGACCTTTAATTTACCTCAGGATTCTTCTTCCAAGCGCTTGTCCTCATTAAAACCTGCTTTCTGGAGCATCGCTGGGTGTGTATTGAAGTTACTGTGTTATAGCTTGGTCTTCTGTTGAATGACTTTTAGGCCCAGGTGAA